CATTGTGCTAGGGGCAAGAGGATCACACATTTATACAGTAAAGGCCATGCTCTAGGGCCTCAGCTAGCAGAGGGCAGAAACAATGAAAAAGAGAAAAACCAGGGACCGGCAGTTAGCGTAAACGCTATGTCGCTGGACTCCCATGTAGTCGACCACGGTTCGAGCCCTGGACCTGGTGGCTTAAATTCATGCTGGGCGCACGTGTGTGTGTGTGCGTGCCCAAGATCCCTAGAGGAGAAGGGATTGCGGTGTGGCCACCCCCCTCCCCCCGGGGGTGATTTTTCACTTTCTGTCTCTCTTGTCTCTCTGGCAAGCACACATGCCCTATAGCGAAAAAAAAAACAAACAAGAGAGAGAAAAACCATAGTGACTCTACAGCGTGATGACTTAAAATCACAAGTATGTGAGAGTGCTTTGAGGGCCAACGTGAGGACAGGCAAACTTTGCTAATTCAACTAGACCCATAGAAGCTGATATTACAGTTCAACACCTAGACCTTTTAGGTTAAACTTCTGAATTGTCAGTCATTAGCATTTTTTTTTTTAAATATGAAGATTTCAAACTGATACCAAAGTGACAAAGTGTAGCGCATACCCGGGACCCACCAGCCAGCTTCAAGAGTCATCACCTCATAGCCAGTCCTCTTCCATCTGCATGCCCACACCTACTGACCTTGGATTATTTTGAAACTAACTTCACCATCATATTATTTTAATATTTACTGACTGTAAATGTTTCATTATGTACATGGATCTTCAGAAGGCTCACGGAAAATGAGTACTATGAAAAAAAAGTGAAAAAAAAAAAAAAGAAAAAAAGCATGCATAGATTTTGAAAGTTTTTGCCCAAAAATAATTTTGTGCTTTAATTGTATTTTCTACCCACTTTTTTTTTTTTTTAAGAGGTTTTCACTATAGGGCTTGTGCACTCGCCAGACAGACAGAGAGAGACATAGAGACAGAAAGCGAGAAATCATCCCCCAGCGGGGATGGTCACGCCGCAATCCCTTCTCCTTCATTCTCCTCTCGGGATCTTGGGCACGCACGCACACGCACCCGGCGTGAGTTTTAAGCCACCGGGTCCTGGATGTGAACCGCGGTCGACTACGTGGGAGTCCAGCGACATAGCCATTATGCTAACTGCTGGTTCCCTCTGCCCACTTTTTGAAGTACCTTGTATTTCTAAAAGATTAGAATTCTTTTTTTTTTTTTTTTTTTTTCTTAATTGCTACTGCACTGTTAGAGTCACTTTATTAAAATCTCTTCTTTTTTCTTTTTTAAATCCTGGCCTCTACGTATGCAGAGGTTGTCGGTGTCATGGCCACAGGCTGTGGGTGGTATGAGACAAGCCCAAATCTAGGCCCCTATGGCACATAGTTTAATGAAGAGCCAAAGACTTTCCAGACTGTTATTCTTCGAGAGGTGCAAGTATATTTATATACCAAAAAAGATTTCTGTTTTATGTCTCATGCCCTGACTTTTGTTTTTGGAAATGAGTTCATGCTTTTTGAGAAATAACTGTCCTTTGAACTATGTTCTTCCCTTTTGCACCTGGAAAGTGGATACATAGATTTCAATGCTACCAGTTTAACGTTTAGATAATTTCTAAAACTACCTGTTAAAGCAGTTTCAAAATACCTGTCGTACTCTCTTAGAGAAGAAAGGCCCCACCTGATGACGTCTCCCATATCAGAACGGGAGGAAACGTGGGCACTTACTACCTACCTACGTTTATCAAGTTAAATCACAGGGGGCTTTTTACAAAATGTTCAGAAAATAAACGCTTCTTTCTCTCTTTTCCTTCGCTAGGCCTAAACCTCACTACTGTGGAATGATTTTTCTTACTCTTTCATGAGCAAGCATGTTATTGAATAAAAAGTCAAATTCCTATGAAAAATGCAGAGTGTTTATGTTTTTGTTATGATAGTGGAAATACCAGATTGTGGCAGAAGATGTCAAGTAGTTAAGGCGAAAAATTCAAAGTAATATTTGATGTTGTAAAAATTGTATAGGTTTCTTTTCTCTTTCCTTCACATTTTTGAAGAACCTACCTTGTAAACATAGTGATAAAATGCCAGGAATATTAGGATTTTAAGGAAATAATAGAGCCTATTATTTAAACTACAATATAAAAGGCAATTATATTGATGAAGAGCTACACGGGCTTTGTGTGTGTGAATAAACTTGGCCTGTGTTCAGCGTCTATTTGTTCTTCTGGCATAAACACATATTGTGTGTGATTCCAGTTTAATGGGGACCCGTTTGTATGCCAAGCAGCTGCATTTTAGGACCTATTGCGTGATTTCATAGCTCTCTGAAAATTGGTTCTATTCAGAACAAGAGATAGAAGAGGAGAAGGGGGAGAGCGGGGAGGGGGGGGAGAGCTTCAACACACAATCATTTCTTTTCAATTGGAGCCAGAAAGGTTGATGACAACATGACCATTGTGTTATAATGATAAGACCACTAAGGCATCTGTACCTCTCATCAAGGCTTTCACACAACAGCAGATACAATTTAATTCACTGCTCTGTCAGCAGTGCTGATACCATTATGCCGTCTGTCTCCACAGTTATAATCACTGTCCTCTGAGAAATGCAGTTGAAATGATCTTGAGCAGTCAAAGAAACTCTCAATTAAGGCTGCCACTTCCAATGTGTCAGATTGTGTCTTATGCACTTGGTACAATTTTCACTTCCAATCCTGTTTATTTACAATGTCTACCAGTAATTACGCTTAACGTGTCATTTAGTGAGGGGGGCCCCTGCCAAGCCGATTGTTGGGTGCTGCCGTACCATGGAGTGGGAGTTTCTCCAAGTCAATGCCATCAGCAGCTTTTAGGCCCTGATGGGATGCAGTAGTAATGTTGATAATGCAAGTATCGTGCTCATCAAGTCATAATTAGATGCCACTCAAATGTGCCACTTGTAATAACAGTGTTGATTCATGTTTTTCTCGGTGACTGCAACTACTAATTAGTTAAGTGGTTTTTGGTTGGCCTGCATTTGCTGCGGATTATTATTACCCCTGAAAAAAATGTCAAGGTTAGAGATGTTTCTGGCCATTTAGTGCTGCTTTATGAATTTGAATATTAACATAATAAGAACTTTGGACAGACTTAGGAAGTAATACATTTTTGTATTTAATTTGGAGAGAAATTTTTTTCCCCCTGAGTTTAATCATAATTGCAGGTTAATTAAGCTTAAATGAAGCAAAAGTAATCTCTCTTTGTGTTACATGAGCCCAGTGCTTTTTTGCCTAACTTTATTGAGTTTCACATTTGGGTGTCCTTTAAAAGAAAAAAAAAAAAATCTTTTTTAAGCCAAAGAAATGTCAAGAAGTATACTTGTCTAAAGCCAGGTTTTGTTTTTTTAAAAAATTATTATTTATTTAATTTTTTATTTATTCATTCATTTATTTTAATTTGACCAGAGAGAGACACACACACAGAGAGAGAGAGAGAGTGAGAGAGAGAGGGAAAGGGAGAAAGAAGCCGCCAGGTCCGGGACCTGAACCATGGTCGGCCATGTGGGAGTGTCCAGTATCTTAGCCACAACGCCACCTGCTGGTCCCCTACAGCCAGGTTTGAGATCCTGAGAATTTTCTTTTAAGTAGAAATATAGGAGGAGGAATTGGCATTTTTTTTACTGAAGCTTCATAACGTAATTCACGTTCAGAATGACTTCGTGCCTTTACATCTCAATTTACATGAACCGACTACCAGAAAATCTAAACATGAGTCTTTTTCAAGAAAAACCAGTAAAATTTTGTCTTTCTCGTGATGCTCCTATTGGCCTGTGGTGTAAGAAGCAATTTATTAGCATCTGCTCGCATCATGATGTAGCACATAAATCTTGGCGCTCTACTTTCATATCCTGGACTTTACTAAGTACCAGTAACTACCTTGTTTCTAGTAAAAGGCCAGTGTTAAAATATGTAGCTAAACTGCCACATTGTTACTCCATCAATAGATCGGTTTCAGATTCATTTTTCCTTTATTTCTTACAGCTAGCTTTCCTTATGAGATCCATACGTTATATCCTGCTAAGAAAAGTAAATGATGTTGATACGGCTCTTTATTTATAAAATCCTTTTTAAAAACGAGCAGATACATCTATGGATAGATATATATGTATAGCTGAATAAGAAAATGGACACTTAAAATCACCTAAATAGCTTTCTTCTTAAAATGCAAATCCTAACAGTGACCTTTCTTCTTCCCTGTATTCTTTTTTCTTTCTGCATTCAAATATGAGATAAGATTTAATCATGACAGCTTTTTAAAAACTTTTTTCAGTGATAGCTAAAGGTCTCGCTCGCCAAAGAATTGAAGTATTCTTAATCATGGGACAATGTGTGGGCTTCTGGAATAGCTGACTAATCTTTGAATGCTGAGACTTTTTTTTTTCCCTCCTCATTCCTAGTTTCTCACATGGTTATAGAGGAAGTTAATTTTATGCAGAACCATCTTGAAATAGAGAAGACTTGTCGAGAGAGTGCCGAAGCTTTGGCAACAAAGGTGAGACTGTTCAAATGAAAGAGTTCTACCTGAGCTCTTGCGTTTCGACTTGCTTTTCTAAACAGGGGCTTTTATTGTGTTTCTGCTTCTCTAATCAGTTATCTGCTCTGCAAGTTTTCTAAGGTCTCAGAATCCCAGAATACAGTTACTTAAATATCTGTCACACTGCAGAGGTTAATCTGATTGTAAGAGGAGCATCTGCATGTGTGGATTTCAGCCCTGTGCCTTTTGCCTGTGCTAAATGGTGCCACGGTGGTGTGCTGAACTGGACTTTAGAACTGTCTTCGCGGTTGGTTAAAATGCTAACCAAGTTTACAACTCACCTGGTGTGACATAAAAGGGCAATGAATGTTTTCGTGTTTGAATCAGAAGAAAAAGTCAGCCGCGAGCCTTCCACGGCAGGTGATTACTTGTTGAAAGCAAAGCAAGGGCATGCGAAAGGTGACCGCCGATGTTCCGCTGATTGCTTCTAGCTGATGAATTTACCAAGTGTGTAATTTTCTATATTCTAGCTCATCAAAAGTACATTATTATTAAAGAATGTTTTTATCTCTGTCTTATGTATTTTGGGCTGGGTAAAATGCATCTGAACCACTTCATCAGAAAATGGATTACAGCAATTTTCAACCAAATTTCATTAGAAATGCTGGTTGTATTTCTTTTCCCTCCTGGGAAAAGATGGCCCTCCCCATCACCCACCAACAAAGTATTTCTTTGGCTGTAACTGAAATCCTACCACCAATAAATGAATAAGTAAATACATAAGCAAGTTTATTTAATTGGTGTGCATTAGCAGTGTACTTGCTAGAGGTATTTGCTTAATTGTTTGTATAACAAGCCTACATTAGAATTCGTAAGATCATCAGTTCGAACCTAACTAAGATTGTGCATTTTATATATGTAACTTCTGTCTTGTTATTTATCTGAAGAACACAGCATTACAGAAGATTGCTTTGGAAACAAGGGTCACATGGGTACTCACATCAGTGTCTCTCTGCTGCCTGTTCACTAAAGTTTACTCCAGAAAATGGAATGGATTCTTTTCTCATTTCCTTTAGTTCTTTTGAAACAGTTAAAAAATGTGTTTGGAGCATAGTAGCTGCTCTGAATCTTCTGGTGTCTAAGGACAACTCTGTTTTCTCCTGTTATTAACAAGTGTCCCTGTTGCAATGGTATATCCAGAGTGAGGACCCCGATGGGCTCTCGGGATTAGTAGGCTTGATGGAAAGCAGAGGTTTGGGGAGCACGTATACAGGTTATTCCTGAGTATGGGACTTCGGGCAACTTAGTTCTGTTCTCTGTACTACAGTGTCACACTGTAAGCCACAAGATGGGCTAGAGTTAGGATTGCAGTGAGAGCGGGGTAGGTTTTTGTTCATGGTACACTTTAATCATTTGTCCATATGTGGCCACTTTTTCATTGTTTTGTCCTCTCACTTTTTATTGAACAGGTGACTTTGGGCAAGGGCATTCACCTCTCTGGGCTACAGTTATTTTGTCCGAAATGTCAGGGGTGGGCAGAGTTGGCTTAAGAACACCCCAGACCCACTGGCTGCAGGGTTGTGGCCAAGGCATGTGTGTGTTGGAAAACTGCAGGTGGTGGTTGTATTCATCCCTGATCACCCAGCACTGTGTAAACGAACCTGCAAGGTCATTTTTACAACTTAGTCTTAGCCATAGACCCTTTAACTGACACTGTCGCCTATTCTTGAAGAAGCCTTTTGAAAAAGGACATGTAGAGCATTTTGTTTGTTTGTTTTAGGGTACGATATGAACTCATGGAACCTGGAATAAACAAACAAACAAACAACAAACAAGAAACAGATTCAGTCAAACACTAGATTGGACGTGAGAGATGCTATAGTTTTGAATGCAAAATTGCAAAATATGGAAGCTTCATTATATGTGTGATGCATCAGTATTCATTGCACATTTTGACTTAGGTATCAGTTGTCATTTTTGCAAATAGACTCTATTTTTTGAATAGCAAAATGTAAGTCACTTCTTTAGCACAATAAATCTTTGCCATCAAATTAATGATAGTTAGAATGTTTAATACTTACGGGCAGTTTGACCTCATAATTTTCTTAAAAACAAGTGTGAATACTTTGTTAACATGTGTAGGGTAAATCAGTATAGACCACTTATTTGATTAGTATGAGTCAAGGTGATTTGACTTGTTTACTTTATATCTTGAAAAAATCATTCAGTGTTTCTATTGGGCACAATATACAAACTCAGTTAAAATTTGAATATAATTGTAGGTTCTGTTTCTGCAGAATTATTATAGATTTTTGGGGGGGGGCATTTCTTAGAAGGGTTGCAGACAAATAGCATGCAGTCAGTGTATTTTATTTATTTATTTATGGACAGGGTTTCACTGTGTCGTGATATTCCTGCCTCAGCCTCCCAAATAAGTGGGACTACGGGCATGGGCCATCACACCTGGCTTTTAGGGTGGGCTGGGAATAGAACCCAGGCTTCTTTTGTGACCTCAGTCTCCATGTTTTAACATTAACCATTTGCCACGAGGCTGGGGCCATTATTAACTTAGAATTTGATGAATCAGCATAATGACATTGCTTAGTCAAAATCTATGAATTCAGAATTCTCGTCATTGTCCACGTAATAGGTACATAAGACCTCATATGAGCATATGGGCCCTATAGCAAAAATCTATAGACATTTTATTCAAAAGATAACTTTTTCCTTTCAAAATATGAATATGGTATTTCAGAGAAGACTTATGAAATTTTGTTGGCTTTTTTCCTTGAGCCAGCGACTTTCTTAAATATTAGGTTGTCTGGAAAGTCATGTTGTATTTTTCTGGTTTTGTTTATTTTTTCATGCAAAAATGTGTCATGATTTTCTCAACAGGCCAATAGGGTAGTTGTACTGTAGACAGTAGTAGCTGGTGGGTTTTGGTGCCTGACTTGATGGAGGTATTAGCTCTTTTTTTAAAAACATTTTTGAGACCAGCAGGTGGCGTGGTGGTTAAGGCACTGGACACTCCCACATGGCTGACCATGGTTTGATCCCAGACCTGGTGGCTTACTTTCTTACCTTCTCTCTCTCTCTGGTTCTCTCTGGTCATATTATATAAAAACTAAAGGAATGAATACATAAAATTAAATAAAATAATTCTTTAAGAAAAAAAAAACAAAAACAAAACATTTTTGCCAGAAGGTGCGCTTGTGGAGGCGGGGTGGAGGGAGAAAATGAGAAAGTGCTCCCCGTCGGGAATGGTCATGCTGCAAGCCCTTCTCCATCTCTTCCTCCTTTGGGAATTTGGACACACACACACACACACACATTGTGTTTTTCAAGCAGCTGGATCTGAGTTCCTATTGCACTATTTGCCATGAGGGATCTAGCCACCAAAACCACCACCATAGGCAGGCGGGTTTGAGTTCCTTTGAGGGCAGACTTATTAACTACCAAGCTATCCGGTTATTGTGATGGTGGACTGGGAAGTATTGGGTTGTTGGAGAAATTGAGTACTTTTCTATGCAGAACGGTCATGACTTTTCTGACAACCCAATAATCTATGAGGCACCAGATAGTGAAAATTAGTTTTTTTAAAGAGTATCATGAAGGAAGAGGGAAATGCACAGCTGAATACCTTGATTGAAAAAAAAACTAGCTAATAAAGATTTCTACAGGATAATTAGACACACCAACTATACCCCTTTTGTTACTATTAAAAGTTAATAACACTCAATTTTACTGTACATCAGTTACACTGTAACACCATTAAGATTGAGTGTTATAGTAACTCCGTCTTCATATTGTAGGATAGACACTATTTATCCCTCGCTTGCTAATGAGAACACTGAGATAGTACAAGAATAAGTTCTAGAAGCAGAGAAAGAATTCGTTGGCAAAAAGAATTTGTTGGACTGTATATCAAAGCATTGCATGACCTAATGATTCTTGGCATTGATATACATTAGAATCACCTGGGAGGTTCTAGAAACATGCAGGGCCTCTCTGCCAGAGATTTTGGTAAGTTTAAGACCTAACTGATGGAGGTTTTTTTTTTTTTTTTTCTTTTGAAGTTTTTGCTTTAGGGTGTGCCGCCCACCACAGAGAGACAGAGAGAGGGCAAGTGAGAAATTACCCCACTCTGAAAGGGTGACAGCCACACTGCAGTCCCTTCTCCTGCATTCTCTTTTTGGGATTTTGAGCATGCATGCAGATGAACCTCGTGTTCCAGAGCATGCCACTTGGGGTACGTTTATGTTCCGTATTGTTTGGGTGAGAATCTTATCTTTTAGATTGAAGTGGGCTGAACTTTCTCTGTGTGAAACCCTGTGGGACCCTAATTATAATCACAAACGGAGAACCAAATCTGGACAAATACAGTATTAACTACCTTAAATATTATTCTGGTATAGGGCTCACAGTGAAGAAGAGCAGTCAGCTTTCCAGTGAATTACATTATTTTTTTTTTCAAGTGTCATTTATTGAATTGAGACTTGTCTTGGCCAATGGTTCTTGTAAAGGAAATATGATTTTACTTTTTAAGAAGTGATTTTGTTTAACTTTATTTATTTCAATTTGGCCAGAGAAGGACAGAGAGAGAGAGAGAGAGAGAGAAAGTGAGAAAGCAGGCTGCCAGGTCTGAGACTCGAACGGTGGTCAACCATGTGGGAATCCAGTGCCCTTAACCACCATGCCACCTGCCAACCCCAGAAATATGTTTTTATTTCAGTGGCTTACATTTTATGCTGGGGAACATGATCTCAATACTTTGGTGTACTCAAATAAGAAAAGACATTTTAGTTTTCAGGTTTGGGAAGAGAAAATATAAACAAAACCATATTTTCTTCTGTGGACATTGGGCAGTCTAGTCTTTATGCTAACTTTTTTTGGTATATAAGCACAGTAGCTAAAGAAGATGAGGATAGTTGAGTGAGTAAAGCTCAAACTCAACTCATTTCTGTATCAAGGAATAACAAATAGACTGACTAATTAGATGATCTTTTTTTCTGCTATGAGATAGAACTCTTTTCAGAGCTAATAGAAACAGGCCTTGAACCTCCTTCTGTTCTAAATTATTAGGACTCTCTATGGATAGCAGAAACACATCTTGAACTAACTTAAGCAAGAAAAGAAAAAAAAAAAAAGGAGAGTTTGTTGGAAAGAAATATTGGAGAATCCCATAGAATTTGTAAGCCAGGAGGGACCAGCAGTTAGCATAATGGCTATGTCGCTGGACTCCCATGTAGTCGACCATGGTTCGAGTCCCAGACCCAGCGGCTTAAACTCACGCCGGGCGCATGTGCGTGCGTGCCCAAGATCCCTAGAGGAGAATGGAGGAGAAGGGATTACGGTATGTCCATTCCCCCTGGGGGTGGTTTCTCGCTTTCTATCTCTGTCTCTATCTTTCTGGTGAGCACACGTGCCCTGTAGCAAAGACCTCTGAAAAAAACCAATTTGTAAGCCAGGAACAGTTCAGGAAAGCATGGAGCCCTGTAGGAAAGACTTTATTACTTTTTCTGCTTTCCTCTGTACACCAGCCTCATATTTGGGTTTGCTATGAACTACCTTCATTTATTTCTCTAATCAGTCGTGGAAGGCAGTCATCACCAGTTCCCATATGTCCAGGCACATGGAAAGACGTGCAGCTGTCGATTTCAGCCTCCACATTCCTAGAGCAGCCATCTGACTGCCAGCCTTTGGGTCATGAGCATTCTTCCTGGCCTAAACGGCGGTGGCCAGAGGGATGGCATATGCTTTGGGGGAGCATGGCTTGTCCCGTAGAAATGCCATGGAGCATTGAAGGGTGACAGTGTCCATAGGAGAGGGGATGTTGAACAAATAGACCCTTAAAAGGTGTTCGAATGGGCCCGCAGGTGGTGTGTTGATTAAGGTGCTGGACTTCCACATGGCCGACTACAGTTCAGGTCCTGAATCGGGCAGCTTGACTTGCTTTCACACTTTCCCTCTCTTTCTCTGTCTCTTTCTGGTGGATGCATTTGCCCTATAGCAAATTTAGTAGTAATATAATAATAATAATTAAATCTTTAAAAAGTAAAAATAAACAAAAGGCGTTCATAGCAGAGCATCAAACAAAAAATTTTTGCTTGAAATAAAGTACCTTAAGACTGTTAATGAGTATAAATTGAAATTTGATTTTATCTGTACTGGTGTTTTATCTTAATTCCTTAAGTTTCTTATCAGCTTTAACCAGCATTTTCACCTGCCTCTGGCTGCAATCCAGGCATAGTAGCTCGCTTCAAGTAATACATTTAAAATGAAAAAGTGTGAATAATTTAATTATTTAACGAACCTGCTCATTGTTATATCCTGCCGTGAGTGCAAAACAAAAAAACACTTAATTTGTCTATTGTTTAAAAATCCAAGACACTCACTTGACTGCTGTTAAAATAACCGTTTTTATATGTTGTCTTAGCTAAATAAAGAAAATAAAACATTGAAGAGAATCAGCATGTTATACATGGCCAAGCTGGGACCAGATGTAATAACTGAAGAGATCAATATTGATGACGAAGATACGGCAGACGCAGAGAGCGTGGCTGAGACCTGTGTCTCTGTGCAGTGTCAGAAGCAAATGAAAGGTGGGTTGCATGACTTCATTATTAATCATATTGGACTCTTGTTAGGACAGTGCTTTTCTTTTCTTTTCTCTTTCTTTTTTTTTTTGGAGAGGTTTTTGCAATAGGGCACGTGCACTTGCCAGACAGACAGAGACAGAGAGACAAGAAAGTGAGAAATCACCCCCTAGGGGGGTTGGTCACGCCGCAATCCCTTCTCCTCCATTCTCCTCTAGGGATCTTGGGCACACACGCACACGTGCCTGGCGTGAGTTTTAAGCCACCGGGTCCGGGACGCGAACCGTGGTTGACTACATGGGAATCCAGCGACATAACCATTATGCTAACTGCTGGTTATGGACAGTGCTTTTCAATCTTGCTTGCACATCAGAATCATTTAGCAATTAAAAACAATACTGAGGGGTTGGCAGGTGGTGTGGTAGTTAAGGGTGCTGGACTCCCACATGGCTGACCATGGTTTGAGTCCTGGACCTGGTGACTTGCTTTTTTTCCCCTTTTCCCCACTCTGTCCCTCTCTGGTCAAATTAAAATAAATAAATAAAGTTTAAAAATAAAAAAGATGCTGATGCCTGTATCTTCCTTTCCCCCAAATTTGAATTTGGCAAAGGGTGATGCCTGGCTGGGAATTCTGACAGAATGTAATATTTGTGCTTAGTAAATTTTACTTATTTGAGATTAGGCACTTCTGGAAGCATTGGCTTGGTAGAAACAGCCAATTCAACTATAATCTAAATAATATGAACTGTGTATCAAGATATTTTTGGTAAAATGAAAGAAAGGGGACCAGCAGTTAGTGTAATGGCTATGTCGCTGGACTCCCATGTAGTTGACTGTGGTTCAAGTCCTGGACCCGGTGGCTTAAACTCAGGCCGGGCATGTTTATGTGCATGCCAAGATTCCGAGAGGAGAATGGAAGAGAAGGGATTGCAGCGTGGCCATCCCCCCTGGGGGATGATTTCTCGTTTTCTGTCTCTGTCTTTCTGGCGAGTGCACGCACCCTATAGCAAAACAAAACAAAACAAAACAAAACAAAACAAAACAAAGAAACCTCTCCCCACCCCCCCAAAAAAACCAGAAGTAAAATGAAAGAAAGAATGGATGAAAATACATTTAGCCAACACCTTCACTTTGCTTGCTTCTCTGATGGAAATTTGAGGGACGATTCCTTCCCAAATCATTTTGTCTTTGCCCTTTAGGAACTTCCTATTTGATTTGGGCAATAAGCCATAAGCAGTTCTCAGGATTACAGTCATTACAGTCGTGTTGTTCAGCAAGTAGAACCATAAAGCAAGGTCATATCAGGACCAGCAGGTGGCATGGTGGTAAAAGTGCCGGACGCTTCCACATGGCCAACCACAGTTCAAGTTCCGGACCTAGTGACTTGCTTTCTCACTTTTTCTCTCTCTGTGTGTATCTCTCTGCTCAAATTTAAAAAAGGAAGAAAAAAAAAAAAGGCCTCAATAAAATAAAAATTAAATAATAATTCTTAAAAAGCAAGGTCATAAGTTATACATCTATTCCATATACATTTATATTATTCACATGCATATGTACACATTATTTATGTTAAAGATGTAGGAAAATGAGTTTGGGCCCATAACTATTGGAAATTGTCAGAAGCAATGCACATTGGTTTGGTAGGTAAAATGTCAGTTGGAAGTCTGAAGAAGAAAGGATGTTACGGACACCATCTTTACCCTCCTCTTCAATCCCTTAACCTAAGACAAAGTGTACTTTATTTTGGTAGGGAAGAAGTTTAAAGGATTTCCTTCTGTTCATTATTCTCCTTCTATTAAGTCTTGAACAATATGGTGTCATGGATTCCTTTTGGATTAACCAGCCAATGGAGAAAGTTTGATTTAATTTATAAATAACCACATATCAGGTGTTTTGTTGCCCTTGGAGAGGGGTGAGAAGTTAAAAACTAAGGAGCAGAACAGTAGGCCTGGGTATAGACTTAAGTGGTCTCTGCTAATCCATGGGTATTTTTAAACATTTGAGGGGTAGACATAATTTTAATGTACCACCAGATGTGTTTGCACTTATACTTGCTAATATTTTCATTCTAGGAACACATTTTTCATTAAATATCAATAATAAAAAATATGAAATAAATTAAGAAACAAAACACCCACAACTCTGGAGAGAAAATTACTAGAATTAACCCTTCTTTCAAATAGTTATATTTTGAGTCATTTCAAGAATTGTTTAAAGGCTATAAATTGGCAGTATGTCAGGATTTTTTTTCTTCAAATGAAAATCTCCAAATTATTAACTGCCCTATTGTTTGTTTGTATTATATTGTGGCAAGAGTCCATGGTCATTATGAAATAAAAAAGAAATTAGTACAGTGCCTTAATTTGCTTTGTTGAAAGCATAAAAATTTTCACTTCCAAACTGCCAGATAGTTTTCTAGAATGTGAGTTTCATCGAATGCAAAGAAAACATGATCTGATACACTTCACATAGTGAGATTGTCTGATACAGCATCATTAATGACCTGATTGTGTGGGGGCCACACTCTGAGATTCCCATTGTCCTCTGGTTCTTCTTCTCTTTCCTTTTTAATTGTTAACTAACCTTGACCATAAGCTGTGCATAGATTGGCACTTTCCATTCATTTGACTGGATTGATTTCTTCTTTTAAAAAGGTTTATTTCTATTTTTGTCTTTAAAAATGCAGAACTTCGAGATCAAATTGTATCTGTTCAGGAGGAAAAGAAGATTTTAGCCATTGAGCTGGAGAATCTTAAGAGCAAACTTGTGGAAGTAATTGAAGAAGTATGTATCCTCACCCTGAAATGCAAGACCTTTAGTGTTTCCAAGTTTTTCTGGGACCCGCTAGGTTACACGCTTGCTATCGGAAGCTCATTTCTGACATGAGGACCATGTGCAAATTGTAAACTTCTCTTCTCCTATTTAGTTTAAACATGCAAAAGGGTACGAAAATGCCTCTCTCTGCGAGAAAATAAGATCAAGAACAATCATGCCTACTACCAGCTTAATAAATAAAATGTGGTAATAGCGTTGATGTGTCCCCTGTTGTCCCCCCTTTTTTCTTTGTGAGACAAATTTGTAAGAGTGGTAGCCTCTATACCAGGTCATATACTCTATGACTGCTGGTGAGGAGGGAAGAAAGTATCCTTCCCAGTGGCTGGCTGGCTTCGTTGGCAGAGACTGGCCCCCTGTACCTTCAGTGCAGACATATGTGATAGATAGTAAGTGGGCTCAAAGGGGCATTTGGAGAATTTCTATTCTTTTTGGAGAATCTCTCCTTGTTTCATTTTGAACTGTTATTTGCATGAGGCTTCGAGGATCTTCCTTTACATTGTCGGTGGTTCTCAGATTCAGTAGACCACAGCTTCCCACCACGTGCCACGGCACCTTGACAACCATCCCATGGCTTGCAGATATGCCTGGGCATTGATCCTTCAGGGAGGAGCCTCATCTGCTGGCCTCCGTTCCCATGCACATTGCCATTTCTTCAAGGCCGTGATGTAAAAGAGGCAGGGAAGCAGCGCCCACCGGCCTCCCAGCCTTGGCAGCTACTTACTGCAGCAACGCCTTGTGATGAATGAGGAAAAAGACGATTAGACAGTGTGTATCAGTTATTGATGTAAACCCAAACCCAAAGTCTTGTAGACTGCAAGACTCCAGTACACAGACTGTCTGGAGGTGCTCCTGGGCTCAGCTACTTGCGGACTGTTGTTACCTCAGTGTGCATTGTGAGTGTGTAATTACGGAGGTGACATGCAACACCTCCCGACGTGTTCTGCTCCTCAGTCGTGGTTATATATTGATCGTTTTCTCTCCCACCCACTGAGGGCTGTTGTTACAGACCATTCAGAAATTCTTTTTCTGCTTTTTTTTAAGAGGTTTTGGTCTTAGGGCACATGTGCTCACCGAAGAGAGAGACAGAGACAGAAGAGAGGGAAAGTGAGAAATTACCTCCACGGGGGTGGTCATATCACAATCCCTTCTCCTCCATTCTCCTTTTGGGATCTTGGGCACGCACACACGCTTGGTGTGATCTTGAAGCTGTCAGGTCCAGGAATCTGACCAGAGTCGGCCACGTGGGAGTCCAGTGATGTAACCACACCATCTGCTGGCCCCCACACATTCGTCTTACTATGATTATTTCAGACTTTTGAAAGGTTTAAACAACAAAATAGTGAATGAACATTCAAAAACCTTCTAGCTTACTAGATAGAGCACTAGTGTAGTGATGCAGACCCTGGTGTACCTCTTCCACTGTCACTGTCCTCACTCCTGGCCCGTTTCCACAAACAACCATTATTCTGAAGACGGTATTTATTATTCCAGTACTATATTCCATGTTTGCTGTAATCGATAGCATTTTAAGTGTTTTAAAACTATATAGACAAACCTGCTTTTAAAATTCAATATATTTGAGATTTATCTACCTGGATAAGGGTAGCTTTATGTTCTTTTTTTTTTTAAATTGCTCTATGGTATTCCGTTCATAGATGTCAAGAATTATTTCATACATTAAAGTTCTAGGGAAACTATTTCCATATGGATTGGATCTAAGTCAGAATTCATCAAATACAAAAACAGAGTATCGACTCGCTGACTAAATGATTTGTGTCTTCCGTGTGCTCTGTAGTTTGATTGTACGTTAAAGATAGGAATCATTTCCACTGCACGGCTAGAATATCGTCATGTTGGGGCCCGTGCCAGTTGGAATATTTAATAAGCTCTGTATCAAGTGTGCATCTGAACTTCAATAGCTACCTACAGCGTGTTAAAGAAGAGCTTTAATAAACGCTTCAGTGTAGCGAAGCCAATTTCTGCTTTAAATTGCAACTTGAAAGTTGAACGGTAGTTTGAGTATCACACATTGCCATATGTCTTGTTGTACAATTTTAGATGTTTTCTCAAAATTTCATATTTTAGGTAAATAAAGTTAAACAAGAAAAGGAGGTTTTAAATTCAGAAGTTCTTGAACAGAGAAAAGTCTTAGAAAAATGCAATAGAGGTATGTCTTTCCAGTCTTTTTCCTTAAATACGTATGCCATTTGTTTTGTTTAAATATATAATTTACACTCGTGCCTACAGATCCTTATACTTTGTTGTTGGTGTGTGTGTACGCACGTGTGTGTGTGCGTGTGCATGTGTGCGTTTTTAGGTGAGGACTCACTGTGTTGCAGACCTGCTGTGTCAGCCTCCCTAGTAGCCGGAACTCAGGCATGAGCCCAGATTGCCAGCTCTTTGAGCAGGGGTCTTGCTGTGGGCCTACGCTCACTTGCCATGACGTACTGTCCTCCTGCCTCAGCCTCTGGGGTGGCTGGAACCACAGTGTATGCCCCCGTGCCTGGTTTTTAGAGTGAGCTGGGAATCAAACCCAGGCCTGCCGTGTGGCCTCATCCTGCAGAGCAGCAGTGTCCAGCGGGTGCAGCTGCGGCTGGGACTGAAGTTCCTTGTAGCCAAACCCTTCTCCTGTGTTGTGTCCCTGGCTCTGAGTTCTCTCGTTCCTGTTACTGTATCACCCAACCTAGAGTCGGGGTCATTTTAAAGTGATTTTGCTCGAGAAACTCAGAATCCATTCTTATTTTTATTTATTTATTTATTTTTAAGAATTATTTGTTTAGGGACCAGCAGATGGCATGGTAGTTATGTTGCTAGACTCCCACATGGTCAACTGTGGTTTGAGTCCCAGACCTGGCAGCTTTTAAAACTCATGCTGTGCACGTGTGTGTGTGTGTGTGTGTGTGTGTGTGTGTGTGTGTGTGTGTCCAAGATCCTGAGAGGAGAATGGAGGAGAAGGGATTATGATGTGGCCATCCCCCCTGGGGGGGTGATTTCTTGCTTTCTGGCTCTTTGCCTCTGTCTCTCTGGTATGTGCATACCATAGCAAAAATCTCTCAAAAAATGATTTGTTTGATTTTATTTTTTATTATTATTCTTTCCTAATTTGCTGCAGGCATGTGCGCTCACCAGAAAGAGATGGGGGTGGGAGGGGAGGGAATGAGAAAGCAAGCCACCATGTTTAGGACTCAAACCACAGTTGGCCATGTGGGAGTCCAGTGCCCTAACCCCCACACCATCTGCTAGCCCCAGGACCCATTCATTTTGAAATTGAAACCTAAATACTATTTGATCCTTACAGTTCCTGGGACAGTCGCCATTTTGGGTGTGTCCTCAGAATGAATATGTTTGAAAAGTTGTTTTGTAGCTCTCAAATTTGACTAGGATACCTCATCAATACATGCAGGGATAAACTTTCAGATATGATATACTTTCAGATTGAGAGGAGGTGGACAAGTGGAGCAACAGGAAAGTGAGAGTACAGAGTGGTAGACAGAGTACGTTCTTGTTCTAAGATAGTACACGTTTTCTCCCTGTGTGCCTAGCAGCTGGCTCTGAGCTGCCTAGCAGCCAATGCAATAAGGGATTCACAATCATTTAACTGAATTACTTAAAAATGAGTCTAATGGTCAGGAGAAGCAGGCTTGATCTCATGGTGTGAAGGAAATGTCTCCAACAACCTAGGAAACTTTATAATTTGGTCAATAGTGACTTTGCATCCATCCTTGTTGTAAGACACAATATCATGTCCTATGGGAACAGTTTCTCTCTCTCTCTCTCTCTCTTTCTTTCTTTCTTTTCCCCAGATTTTTGCTATAGGGTGTATGTAAAAGAGACAGAAAGAAAGAAATCATTCACTAGGGATGGCTACACTGCAGTCCCTTCTCCTACATTTTCCTCTCAGGATTTTGGGCATACACACACATGTGCCTGGCATGAGTTTCAAACCACTGAGTCTGGGATTTGAACCTCATTGGCCATGTAGAAGTCCAGCAACATAATCATTATGTCATCTCCTGGTCTCACGTGGATGAGTTCTTATGTCTCCTAGATTAGGACGAGGAAGTGATACCAAACATACAGATCTGCACAGGCGTTCTAAGGGAGACGATGCTTGTTTTTGATGTTAGAGGGGACATGCACTCACCAGGAAGAGAGAGCAGACACTCCCCATGGGCAGTGGCTTTGCTGCAGTCCTTTCTCTAGATCTCCCTCCTCTCAGGATGTTGGTTATGCACACACATGTGCCCATATTTCCTAATCTACCAGGTCCAAGAATTGAACCACATGGTCAGCTGTGTGTGATCCAGCTGCCATGGAACCTGCTTGGTAGGAAATACTTTTTGTTCTCCTTTTTTCTCTTAGCCACTCTGTTTTCTAATTCAGAGCTACAACATGGACAGGAAAGCTTTCAGCCATGTTTTCTACGTTGTTACTGATGGTAGCTATCAAGCTATCAATCTCTGCCTCATTCAGTAACTGGGATGTTTTTTTTAATAATTAAGGCATTGTAGTTAAGTGTAGAGAAGTCCCTAGATTGTAACATTTCTTTAGGTCTTTCTGTACTTTTAAATTTTATTTATTTATTTATTTTTGCTATAGGATGTATGCACTCATTGGTAAGAGGCAGAGACAGAGACAGAAAAAATGACAAATCAGCCCCAGGGGCATGGTCATGGCTTACCACCGTCTCCTCCATTCTCCTCTTGATTGGGATTTTGTGCATGCACAAAATTATACCACATACGTGGTCCGATTTTCAATCCACTGGGTCCAGGACGCGAACTGTGGAGTTGGCTAGGTTGTGTCCAGCCACCTTAACCTCAACGCCACCCGCTGACCCCAGGTCTTTCTGTATTTTTAAAGATCTGGGTGACGTAGAAGAGTTTTCCAGCACAGTGTGTTCTGCACAGGTTAATCACATGGATCTTGCCTTCAGAGAGCCCCCTATCTAGAAAGAGAGAGAATATATAAATAAATCCAGAACTAGGACCAATCTAATTTCCTTCAGAATCCAAGTCAAATGGACCAGGACCTGTGAAAATTCGCTTTTTATTATAGTGTTCTGAACCTAGAAAAGAGAGTCAATTATCTTGCCCAGGGCTCCAGCCAGTCATAGTCATCTTTGTTTTCTTCATGGAATTTCTTTTTTTTAAATAGGTTTGGAAATCATTTAGCTCTTCAGGACCTATAATTCACACCAGAAACCACTACTTATACTGCTTTCCTTGAGGAAGACCATTAGTCTTTCATCTGAGGAGGCAGTACATTTACGGAGTACAGAGTTTGAAATTCTATGTCATTACCCAGCAAACCAGTCCTTAGTCAGTTAGGATTGAAGTGCCCTGGCGGAACAGACTGTGAAAGCAGCCATTAGGAAGGCCTTTTTTAAAGATTTTATTGACATGACTCAGTCCGGGACGGAGGTGCCTCACCAGAAGCAGTTAGAGAGTGAGCTGTCTACCTTGTGTGGTGTCTCATCTCCAAAGGCGTCGCCCCTCTCTCTGTCCTGCCTATGTCATTATTTAGCAAGATAGGCCATTAAACCGCAGAACTAGCCAAGAATTCATGTTGCTTTTATTCAACAGGACCTTCCCTTGGGAGGTTTCTGTCTGCAGTAGTTCTTTAGGTATGAAGTTCTGACTCTTTGGGTCTGGATGGATTTAAGTTTGATTCTCTGTAAACATGAAGAACACTTAACACATTTTACTTTGTATTCAGGTAATATATTATTTTGAGGGAAAATTTTAGATTCATGTAGGAAATAAAAAAAAAAGGTCAACCTTTACAATCCAGATAAGTAATTGACATTTTATTTTGTTTTGTTTTTCTTAGGGGCCAGAGAGAAAAGTGGTGGTGGGGAATCACCCCCCAAGAGGGATGGTTACACCTCAGTCCCCTCTCCTCCGTTCTCCTCTCAGGATTTTTGGCACACACCTAAAGTGCCCACTGTGACTTCTAAGTTGCTATGTCCAGGACTCAAACCACAATGCTGGCCATGTGGGCTCCAGCTGCCTTAACCTTCATGCTACCTGCTGGCACACTATGGAAGTTTTATTTTGTTTATTTTAAATTTAATTATTATTATTTTTTAAAACTTTGCTATATGGTACACACACTCACCAAAGAGAGACAGAGACAGAAAGAGAGAGAGAAAGTCAGAAAGCAAGCTGACAGATCAGGGATTCAATTCTTGCTCCACCATGTGGGAGTCCAGCGCCTTAACCACAACACCCACCATTGAAATGTTATTGTATATTCTTCCAATCTAAAAAATAGCCTCAAGGCCAGCAGGTGGCATGGTGGTTAAGGCACTGGGCTCCCATGTGTCCGACCGTGATTCGAGTCCCAGACCTAGTGGCTTGAAACTCACACCAAACACATGTGCGTGCATTCTCAAAATCCCGAGAGGAGAATAGAGTAGAAGGAATGGTTGTTTGGCCATCTCCCTTGGAGGATGATTTCTCGCTTTCTCATTCTGTGTCTCTCTGGCAGGCGCACACACAATAACAAAAATCTCTCAAAAAAAAAATAGCCTCAGTGTGTGTGTTTGTGTGTGTGTGTTAAATATGTTTATAATGTATATGGAAGATAAGTAAAATACCAGTAAAAGAAATCTCCCCTTGGGACCAGCAGTTAGCGTACTGGCTATGTCACTGGACTCCCACGTAGTCGACCGTGGTTTGCGTCCCGGACCTGGTGGCTCAAAACTCACGCCGGGCGCATGTGCGTGTGTGCCCAAGATCCCGAGAGGAGAATGG